AATCCCCATACTTTTTATATACTGCTGCTTGCAACACTGTTCAATCAAAAACTTGCGTGTAAATAATCCTGACACAATATTTTGCACATCAATAAAAGGGAGTAGAAAATTGCTCAAGGATTCTGGAGGAACTATTTTATCAGAGTAAAAATTGAAATTTCTATTAGTAAATTGAGCAAATTTACAACTGTCTATGTTCTCAGAGTGGCATTATACCTTAACACATTTTGGAGCTATTACGCAATAGAAATCTTCATCCCAAAATTGACTACGTCTATTCATACTATCCGTCAAAGGAGATACAATATGCTACTAATAAATGCTATAAAAAATTCCATGGATCTACCAAAAAACCAAAAAAAAAAAAAAATTGTCAAACACATACAGTAAATTGACATACAGTTAAAGCTATAATCACAGTGGAGATAAACTATTGAAATTAAATATCTAATTGAACTTGTGGTGCAAAACAGAACTCACCGGATAGTATAGCGCTAGAGGACAGAAAAAGAGATGAAAAAATGAGAACACAAATTTGAGAAACCGAAGAAATTTGTGCGAATTCTTGATTTGTTGAAAAAGGAACAGTGTAGATGCAAAAAGTGAAATTAGGTTAAAATAATTGCAATTATTTTTGAAAGGGAACTTTTCCTTCTTTGCATCAATAGTTGTTATAGCTTTTTAAGTGCTCAATTTTTGGTAAATTACACTCAACACTCCACTAATTTGAAGATACGCTCACTTTATTAACAAATCAAATACTTACATTACCTTTTATTGTGGAAATCCAAGTGCATTGACAAATACTGAACATAAGATTACTCGAGGGAAGTTTTCCTGGATAATTATTAGTTAACGGTGTCAACGGGGCGGGCCGGTCCGGTTCGGGCTATTGGAAAAGGAGATCTGCCGGTCTTCCGGGTCGGTTACCGGTTTTATCGGTTTCTAGCACCTCCGGTGAATAATTGAACCGGAACAGTTCCGGGTCTAAGAGGCTGGGCGGGTCGATTTTATTTTAAAAAAATTATGTGTAATTTGTATAACTACCGCAATTTATATTAAGATAAAGTAAAAATATAAAACATAAAAACAATCTTATAAAAAGAGTGTTTTAATAAATTTCAAAGGCTTTAAAATCCTTATATTTAAATATTTCATTAAGAATCTAAGATAATAGAATACAATGAAGATGGAAAAAAAATATTGAACTTATAATTTGCACGTTCTTTTTTTTAACTCAAACTTGCAAATTAAAGTTTACATTTTACAACAACTAAATTAAAGAAAAAAGAGTAAATTCAAACTTTAATTAGTAAATATAAATCAAGAACTTCAAAAGTTTTGCATTGCATAATCAATGTGAACTTCTTGGCCATCTTCTAGAGTGTTAAATTCATATGGGTTACCATGTGTTAATATATCTCCAAGTTCCTCGTATTCTGGTTTATCAACATCTTCACGTCCCTGATTTCTTCATTCCGATCTAATCCAATCTCTGAAACATACTAAAACTTCCGAAGCATTGCTTCCCAATGAGTGGCGCGTGTCTCCTAGTTATTGTCTTACTTGACTAAATGCACTCTCTGATGCAACAGCTGAAATTGGCACATTCAGCACGTCTCGAGCCATAACGAAAAGAACAGGAAATTATTTTTCATTCTCATGCCACCATTCCAACGGTGAAAATTCCTTTATGCGAGGCTCTATTTGTTTTTGCAAGTAAAATTGAAGTTCATCAATGTTCCTGCTACTGGTTTGAGTGGAAGGAAATATAGATTATAACCACCAAGGCCTTCATCTTCATCCATAGTAGCAAATGCAGTAGAAGTAGTAAAATGCATAGTTGGATTAACATTGCCTACATTAATAGCAGCATCATTTATTATATTTGCATAATAATTATATAATTATTGTAAGTAATCATTTAGCTTGTTCATACAACAATATATATCTGTGGTTTCAGTTGGTCCAATCTCCATATAAGTATATAAAGCATTGATTAATTGGTGACAGTTAGACATCTTAATAGAAGGATTTAAAACATCACCAATTAAGTAAATCGAAGGAATTGAAAAAAATATTTTTGAATTTTGCTTGCATTTTTTCTACAGCATCCTTATATTTTTCTTTCTTCTTAAATTGAGAGAGTGGAAAAGAAATTTCAGCTATATGTACTAAAGCCATTGTAACAGTAGGGTAATATAATCCAGAAAACTCAATAGTAGCTGTATAAAATTTATGTAAAAATTTAACAACATCATTAATGGCCTCCCAAGTATTAGTTGTTAATATACGATTTGGATCAGTACAATGCGCATTAGCAACTTCAGTTATCGACAATCTATATTTGTAGCAATATTTTAAAAACAAGTATGTATGATTCCATCTAGACAATTTCATCTGGCATAAATCTGGGATTAAGGTTATGCTTGGTACACTTAGTCTTAAATTCCCTAATTCTAGATTGTCTATTATTTCCTTGAATAACACCAACTGCTCTAACATGAGTAATCTTAGTCGAAAATAAATCAAGGCCACTTTTAACAATTAAATTATAAATATGATATGCACACCTAACATGAAAAAATTCGTCAAGTAGTGGTTTCAAGTGCGGTCTTAATATTGAAATAGCGGCATTATTGTTAGAAGCATTATCAAAAGACATACATAATAATTTTTTATTAAGATTATAAAATGCAACAACTTCGCAAATAGTAGTACTTATTGTCGCGCCTTTTTCCTTTCCTCGCGGAGGGAATCAGGTTTATGACATTTTGGTTGGGACAACTCTTTCCTTTTGGGAAAGGGGTTTGCATTTTTGAAGAGTCGCCACCTAACGATTTTAAGGTGCGTTAGGGCACCTATAAGGTTCATCTATAACTACGTTTGATAACCAGAGATAGGGTAAGGGCTTGAAATTATCCTAAGGGGAAGGTGTTAGGCACCCCCCAGGATCCACTAGTGTGGTTCCTGGCCAGACAGTTTTTTGTGAATTTGTACAATTAGCAAGTAAGCAAGTATGACTCAAGTAGTAGGGGATTTAAGTTTAAACACACAAATGTTTAAAAGACAGCGAGATTTTGAAAAGGATTATAATCTAAGCATGTTCATAAATGTAAAGACGGGTGTCCTAGGTTTGTTTGTAATATGGATCACATCAGTACAATGCCCGGTAATCACTCCTTAGAAAAGGGTCTACGCGTGACATTAGCGCACCGGTCATCATATCCATATCTACCCTTTCCCGTCCCGTGAAGGTAATTAAAAGCGAAGGTTGGTCACGACCCCTATCGCATGCTGTTACCCGTCCCTTCCTATCAGTCCCGGAGGAATTTAGGACTCCTATCCTGTAAGAAGGAGGTTCTAGGCAGACCCTCAAGTTTAAAGGCAAAATACTAAGGCGACATACAATAACAAGTAGGACTTCAATTAAGGGGAGCATGGAAGACAAACGAAAGGCTCAAATATACCTCCACAGATAATACACATAGATAGCATGACTCATACACAATTAAAGTCTGAATTTAAATCCTATGCATGGTTTCTAAGTGATAACAACAGAACCAGATTTATCACATGACTCATAAAAGAAGTCTGAATCAGGTTTGCCTACTGATTTAACAGTTGATAATTAGACACTAATCACAGAGAAGATTCTGGTTTTATTTAAAGTTGATTACCTAAGGCTTGCCTAGGCGTAAGATAATATGCAGCAGTTATTCAGAATAATTAAAAGACAGTTTGGAAATTGTTTTACCCTAAGAGCATGTTGTTCTAGTCGATACGAATGCAGAAATTATTACCACTTATTTTAAACAGGATAATCAAGTGTGAAGCTGTTTTTACCTCTTTTATAACCAGCGGTTTACACTAAGTGTGAATGCAAGCGTGGATAAGATCCTAAAACATGGTATCTAAGATGCATGTATAAGCTCATGATGATTTGTATGTAGCATTTCCTAAAACAGGATTTCTAAATGCAGAAAAAGGATTGCAGGATTTCCTAAGAACAGGATTTCTAAATGCACATGGCAGCGTAGAACATAATAGTAAGGTGTTAATTATTAGCAGATTTTAACACATGATTTTGTAAGGGTGCACATGCTGAAACAATAAACATGAGGCCTAAGAACATGATTTCTAATGCATGTATGAACTCTAAGCATGGTTTCTATTGCAAAATTAGGAACATAAACCTAATAACATATTTTTCTACCCTTAACAGCTATGGCATGCATATTTACCCCATCCCTTTCACTAGCCAACCCCAATACTTGTTTATAACAAATTATTACAGACCAACATTGGAACGAATTATATAAGTAACAATGAAAATAAGAAGTTACACTATAGGAAGCCTGATTAGGACTTCCTCCCTGAGTTATGTAATCAATCACCTCAAGTGCCAAGATTGGTTCCATAGTTTTCCCTCATATCTAGGTGTGTCAGAGTTCCCTAAGGACCTCAAGGGATCCCGGGCAGTGCTCACACCCAGATTTCATAGCCAAGACAAAGTAAGTGCAGTGTGGAAAGGCCAGCTTTCATGTGTCCAAGTTCAGAGGGAGCTCAAGGGTCCCAAGGCAAGGCTCACACAAAAGGGACAGAACCTAGTATTCTAAGAGTATAGTGAAGGTGCAGAACACATGTTTGAAAGGAGTTCGTTTAAAAACTAGACTGACAAGTCCATTTTGAAAGCAATCAGTAACAGAGATGATTAAAAGCAGTTGTAGTAGTAAACAAAACTCAAACATCTTAAGGTGGGATCACACACAGAATCAGTAGTCACACAGGGGGGTCAAGGGATTTGGGGATACACAGACATTTGACTGTAAACACATAACCCCAGCAAGGGTCCTAGGACTGGTTTGGACATGCTCAGCAATAGCTGATACTGG